AGTTCGCCAGTCCCTTGGAATCCCCGCAGTACCGCAGTCTGAACCGGAAGCTATGAGCTACACCGCTACAGTGCACCGTAAGACTCCGCCACGCCCATGTCAGGACACCAGACACATTGTGTCTGGTGGTGGCTGTGTCTACCACCAGACACAGCCACCACCACCACTGACGCTATACCGCCCACCTACCCGCCAGGCCTACGCTACTAGGAAGACTAACGTCTGGCGCGCCCCTGACCACAGCCCACTTTGTTACCGTTGCGGTGAAGCCGGGCACATGTGCCGCCACTGCTAGTACCTCCAGGTTGGACCTTGTGGTTTCGCCATCGACGCACCGCGTCCACAGCGTGGGGAAAGACCACATGACATTCCCGACTATCTCGCTTATCTCGCGGAAGGGCAGAGGACACCTCGGGGATCTTCTTGTTCACCCTCACCTGGCGCTACATGTCACCGCACCGTCAGCAGTTACAATGGCCCAAATCATAGCTCGTACTTAGAAAACTAAAGACAGCAACCGATGAAGGCGCAGTTGCTGTACGATGAACTGCTGAAGATCTTCCGCGAGGATGCCGTGAAGAAAGCTCAAGAACCTGCCGCAACATGCACGTTGCCCTGATGTCGAAACTTTGTGGCCAGAAGATGACTTGATGACGAAACACCAGAGCAGCGGTACAAACCATCGTAGCCGAAATCAGACGTCGCAACCTAACTGTAATGCGAACGAACTAGCGACCTCGACGTCCTTATCAACGGCTACAGCGTCGCAGCTCTCATTGACATCGGCGCCGACTATTCCGTCATCAGTGGGACATTCGCCCCGAAATTGAAGAGAGTTAGGTCAACTTGGGAAGGCTTTGAAGTCCCTACAGCTTGAGGTCACCTTATTATGCCGGCAGGAACATGCACAGCCTAAGTCATCATTAACCGTAAGATTTAACCTGCAAGCTTCATCGTACTACAGCATTGCTCAAGAGATGTCATACTTGATATGAACTTCTTAAGTCTCCATGGTGCCGTCATCGCCCTGGGAACGAAGTTGATAACACTATCCACTGAAAAAGCACTGCCGTCAAACACGCCGTCAAGAAGGCACGCTTTGAATGTGCTGGAAGACCAAGTCACCATTCCTCCTCGCTACAGCATCAGAATTTTCGTCAGAACTCAAGAACCAATATATACAGCAAGGCGTCGTTGAAGCGTAAAATTTGCATTGCCAGATAAATAGCTGAGCTGTGATGAGGAAACACAAGAGTGATGCTCACGAACTTCAGCAATAAGTACAAGCACGCGAGCAAAGGCACGACGGTTGCCTACATCGAAGAGATAGTGGTAGCCAGCAACGCTTTCGTCATTGCCGATTCCGCTCAATTTATTTGAGATTACTGAAACGCTTCAACCAGCTTTCGAAGTTAGTTGGAGACTTGTGACGCATAAACAAGAACAGCTCGAAAACGTGCTCCTGAAATACAAGAACTGCTTTTCATTGTCCTCGAGAATTTGACAGACCCCTGTTGCAAAACATCGAATCGTAACAAAAGAAAATGCCAGGCCACTTCGTTCAAGCGCGTACAGAATTTTGGCGCGAGAACGCGAGGCCATGGAGAGACAAGTCATCGAAATGCTTTGCAACGACATTATCCAGCCTTCAAAGAGTCCACGGGCGTCACCCGTGGTGTTAGTGAAGAAAAAAGATGGAACACTAAGCTTCTGCGTTGACTATCGCTGTCTCAACAAGATCATGAAGAAGGACATACACCAAATACTTTTCATCGATGGACATCAAGACAGGCTTTTAAAAGATCGAAGTAGACAAGAGAGCGAGAAAAGACTGCATTCATGATACCAGACGGCCTCTTCGAACCCAAGGTCATGCCTTTGGTGTTTGCTCGGTGCCTGAGGCGTTTCAGCGTGTTATGGACGCCGTCCTCACTGGATTGAAGTGGCAGACTTGCCTGGTGTAGTTGGACAATGTCGTCATGTTTTGCTCAAGCTTCGACAAGCATCTTCAGCTCCTTGAAGTTGTACTTCAAGCAATCAAAACATTCGGACTCACTCTCAAGCCAGAAAAGTGCCACTTTGCATACGAGAAACTCTTGTTTTTGGGACACGTGATAAGGTAGTACGGAGTATACTCAACCTCCAGAAAACAACAGCCATCACTGGATTCCCGTCACCTGCCGACAAGAAGGCCGTGCGTCATTTTCTAGGCCTGCGCTTCGTTAAAAATTTTGCCGGCATCGCCGAGACACTCACTAACCTTACAAAGACCGATGTAGAGTTCAAGTGGGAAACCTTCCGAAAAGAAGCATTTCAAGAGCTGCAACGACATGTATTGCAGTAGCACGGATAATTGGGCTAGTTTCTATTGTTTATCTTTCAACTGAATAGGGGCACGCACACAGACACGGACACTAGTTAAAAAAAAAATGCACGTAGCACAAGCACCACTCGCAACTAAAGTTTATTCGAGAGAAAGAAGCGTACATATATATCACTTTTGTCATATGACTTGGCAGCTTAAACATTAAAAAAAACACAAAAAAGAGGGCTGTAAAAATTGGCGCCGTATCTGCATGTTTCACTGCAAATGTCGTCCAAAGACGATAGTCTTGCGTGGGGAGAGAGTGAACAAAACGTTTATTTGATGTTCTGCACGAAATATTCGGTGAATTGTATTCTGGAAGCGCTGCGTTAGAGTCTCGATCCGTGCAGCGAAGGCGAACAAGTGCATCGAGGCATGTTAGACATGAGCACCATCTGGCAGTTATCTTCGAAAACGAAGGAAGCCGTGAGCGCCTGTGGAGAAAGATGCGCGCCTGTCTCGGAAGCGATAAGAAGTAGAATGTAAGCGACGGGCAGGTGCCACCACCGTGTTGTCTTAGCAAAGCGTTGGAAACACTTGCCTTTTTGAGCATTTTGTTGCACTGTCAGCGCAGGGTGATAAACGCTACGGTCCTTAGAATTACTTGTGTGTGCCTTCTCTAGTATGAAGGCACACGTACAAAACATTGATGTGTTGTTATGGTGCGTCAGATATGCACAATAATTGCTTTTAATTTAGAATCGCACTAGTATGAATGCTGAAACTTGAGCAATATTGGTGGACACTGCGGATGGGATTGGCCATTTCAGGTATCGTTTGGTGCCTTTAGGGGGGATCGTACGCGCGGACACACAGACAACTGTACAGACAGATAGACAGGCTGACCAAAATTTTAGCGTCGAAGCGTCATTGAAACACATGCCTCAGATCAAATCTTCAGAATGCTTATGAAGTATAAAAATTCTTTTTCTGTTAACGACTGCAGACAAACAGACAAATGTACAGACACACAGACAGACAGACAGACAGACCAAAATTTTGGCATCAAATCGTCTTTAAAACACGGGCCTCAGATCAAATCCTCAAAGTGCTGATGAAGTACGAAAATTGTTTTTTTGTTAGCGTGATGGAGGGTCCACTTACGCAATTCTTCCCACTTCTACTTATGTGAAACGCCTCTATCAGCTCTCTGGTGGTCTGATCTGGGTGTTTAGATACAAGAATAGCATCATAAAAAAAAGAGTTTGAAACTGCATGAGTTACAATGTTTGGGCAAGTGTGAACTATGTTTTGTTTGAAAACGTGAAGGATGTGATGTGAATCATAAGCAGTCGTACAAAAAGTGTGTATTATGTATTGTATATTGTTTACCATTGTCCTGTGGTCACATCTACATAGGCCTAACGGGAAGATGTGTAAACATCAGGTTGCAAGAACATAGGAGATCGTTGGACACAAAAGTTGTCTTATTACAATGTGACAATATAGACGATGTACATAATAACAAAAGGACCCTAGGCTAGCCAATACAGGTGAACGTATGAATCACATTTTTTCAAGTACTGCATAGGTACATCAATTTGATTGTGCCATGGAGCTTCCAAAGGTTAGGATATAATTATTGACCAGATATAATTATCATGCAGAAAAAGTTACATTGGTATGAGTGGAAAATGCATTAACCTTCATCTTAGGGAACACGAATGTTTATTGTCACGCGCAAAACCATTCTTTTACCCATTGTCAAGAATACAGCTGTGCACCCTTTTTTAACGACACCGTGATAACTGCTACATCATACAGAGCTGATGGCATGAGAAGTCATTGGGGCCTTTTATATTCAAAGGGAAAGTAATAAGTGTGTCAGCCTCCTGCCTATTTCACACAGTGACACAGAATTTATGCACCCATGCAGTTTGGTGTACACAACCTCACTATCTTTGGCCGTATTTACTGACTTCCAACAGCTTTATGTATACGATTAATTATGAGGGCATGAAAACTGATGCTGTGAACATGCAGGTGGGCACTTTGTGATGGGTAAGCATGACTGCAATGTTACCCACGGTAGAGGCTGTGCATACATCAGTCTAGTGTAGCCATAGCATAATTGAGATTTGGAAAAGTTGGTTTGAAGAAAGAAAAAAAAACAAACACATTGGCGCTATCTCGCAACTAAAAAGTTCATTAGAAAGAACACAGTTTTATACAAAATGTCACATGCACATCAACGTCGCAAACGATAAACAAGACTGAAACCAAAGATTATAGCCGCATGATGTCATAGCCATGTGCCCAAGAAAGCCTAATCACGAAACGTTGTCTGAAGATATGTCAGTTTGCTCTGTGATAACGATACTGAAGAGTGGCTAAAGCACAGATATTTTTATTTACAAATGTGTTAAGCTTGGATGATTTCAAGTTGGTACCTATAGGAGTGAATGGCAATGCATCCTCAAATGAAGGTTTACAACCGCCTGCACAACAGTGCGGTCTGATGTGGGACAAGTCATCTGTCCCACTGGCTCTTCCATGCTCTATTAGGCGCACATTGACACATTGCTCCATCTGCCCTATCTTTCTCTATGAAAGCTGATGTTAATGGCAGCTGCCATGGCCCATTCATATGGCACACTTCTGTTTGCTTTTTAATGCTGATGGTTGTTTGTTGCAGGTAAAGTGGGAGCAGCTGCTGAGTGCCTACTTCCACGGCCACTCCATTGGCCAGGACACGCCCGTGCTAATATTGCAGCCACACTACTTCAATGGCCTCAGCCAGATCATCTCCACCACCGATACCACGTGAGTGCCATAATGGGTGACAAATGGCCTGATTATGAATGTCAAACAAAGCTGAAAAGAATACACTCATGCTGTATTATTTGCTGTTCAGTCGAATTTCGCTATAACGAAGTCTGCTTGAACAAAATTGAACAAACAAATAATAATTTTATATACCCTTCATCTAAAAAGAGTGGTGACATAGTATATCTCTGTGTACAGGACAAGAGTACAGGACCAAGCTACAGAGAAGTAGTACAGTTAAACCTGGATATAACAAAAATGATAAAGTTCCGGGACAATCGTTATAAAGAGGATTTCGTTATATGCAGGTTTAGTACAAAAATTCAGAAAATAAACATGCAAATTAAACAAAAGAGAACTGAAGGCAGAGAGAACCCAAAACACCCATTTTATAGTAAAAAAACTCCGTAACTATTGCGATAGAAATTATACGGACACTCTTAGGGGGTTTTCACCGTCACCACCATGTTCTGTAACAAGTACAAGTTGATAACATGCCCCCGCGCATCGTAACTTTCACGATCGGGTAAAAGCACGAGAGCGCTGCTGAAGCAGAGATCTAATGAGTTGGCCCATCCCTATCGTCTGGAAAGTGCATAATCTCTCCCGCCTGTTAGAACTGCCATCGAATGCTCAAACAGAAAGTAAACTACGCATCTTGAGCGAGCATGAAACATTGCGGGGAGTGATGGAGGGGGGATAACTTGAGTACCAATAACTAACTTGTATTTTAAGGGTTGTCACGATCGCTGGCGCGCTTGCTATCTCGGCAAGCGTCAGTGTGCTTTCAATGCAAAGAAACTGTAAAAAGAGCACTTCTGTAAGGAGCAGCCATACTTGCTTACACGAGCGTTTGGTAGGGGTTCCGCGATATCGGACCCAAAAGAGTTGGCCGCCAGTGCCTTACTTCGTATAACAATACAATTTGTTGCTGTTGCATTCACTCCATTTCATTCAATGGGCCGTTGTGTTGCCAGAACTAATCGGCGAATTGCGAAAGCTACCAGCCTGAGAACTTGGGACGCCAGACGGAAAGGCGTGACGAGTCCACCTACGAAGATCCGTCATCACCATGGTCTCTGAAAGTTTCCATCAACGCCTAATCTGACATCCCTTCGATGGTGAGGACACGATTGTTCGAAATCAAGAAAAGTCACATCTTCGACACTAGGGCGAAGCAATGAATGAAATAAGTTGGAATGTAACGCTGAGGACGGCAAGCAGATCGAAACCTGCAAGGACTGCTCAAGCACAAATGACGCAGGAAAACAACATACTACAAAGGATAGGACGAGAGGGAACTAACAACGTTTATCGCTTGGCACTAGTCGTGCTGTTTAAACAAAAAGGCGGCACGAAACATAATCATAGGTACAGACGTGAGTGCATACAAACAAGTGCCCCAGTTGTGACTTCGCTGCGTTTGAAAAGTGCATTTTTTTCGTAAACGGTGCCTGTCCAGCGAGTGAAGTTATCTTTGTGCGCCCGGCAAATGCAATTGCTCCCGTCAAAGTCTAAGGTGCGGGATTCTTTCCACCGAAGGATAAACGTGCCTTCACAAACATCTCACCCCCCCTCCCCATTTGCGGTGCAAAGTACCTGTGGAAGATAAGTCAGCGCATTGTGACGAGCTGGGCACTGAGCACAGGGTTTTTTTTTCTTTTTTGAGTATATATATATATATATATATATATATATATATATAATATTGTTATGACCGTCGTCAGTAGGCGCTATGCTGTCGCTGAGAAGCGTAGCCGGGCAGCGTTCCCACGCTTGGAACCCCAGTTCTCTCGGAACCAGCGTCCAAAGCTGATGGGGGAGTGGCGCTCTTTTAATCCTCAAACAAGTAGCCGACTGGCCTGCTGCCTTTGCCCGCCAGGTATTGTCCCTGTCAGCCGGAGGATGAGACGTCGTGTCGCCATGACGCTGCAAGCCGTTCCCGAGAGGGCAACAAAGACAGCGTCTTCCTTGGAAGAAACCGGGCCGCCGCCACAAATTGCCCTGCTAATTCAGCGGACAGATCGGTGGACCCTTTGATGTCTGCTGTCGGGAGCTTGGGACCCCTCGACCAGCGGCACACACACGATGAGGAAGAGCCCCTCTGGCGCCACCTTGCAGTGCAGTGATCACGACTCAATATTGGATGTTCACGTGGGCCGTGCATGCTCGTACCCCTCGCCTGTTGTGTGTGCGTGATTGGTGTTCCACTCAAGAAGGAGAAGCCCGACAGGGCTTATAACGACGTCGCAGAGTGCGGGACGTCGCTCTGAACCATGTAACGGTTCAACCACCATGCTCGTGGTTTCTAAACTCTCAACCTTTTTATGCTGTAAATATTTGTAAATAGTGCCATAAACTTGTTTGTTTTTTCGTATCCCCATCTTGTAAGCGCTCGTTTCCTCAACCCGAAGCTACACCACGCTACCACAAAAGAGCGGGCAGACCCCGGTCCGCAACAATGGGTCCTCAGTGCTGGGATCCGAAGCGACTACAGGAGAACAGCGCCGATAGCCACAACAACTGGTGGCAGCGGTGGGATCCACGACAACTGGGGACCAGCGCCGGGATCCGCAACAACTGGTGGCAGCGGTGGGATACGAAGCTACAAGTGACAACAACAGTCGGCCCAAGAGAAGCAGCTGGCTCGAGACATGGATCACGTATGGGTGAGTGCTTGGCTTTTCCTTTGAGTGAACCAGGTTCTAAAAGAGGGTAAATTTTAGAACTGGTAGTTAACTTTGCCGAAAGACTCAGTTTCGCCATTTCGGGAAGTTTTTTTTTTTGGGGGAAGTAGCGAGCACTCAGTACGATCATGGACTTACTAGAGTTGCAGAAGCCGGACCTGTTGCTGTTGTGTGAGGAATTGGGGATCGATACAAAGGGTTTGGCATGAAAACCCATAATCATTCAAGTGATTAATGATTTGGGGGCTGATGATGAGGAGCTCAGTGAAGCATGGGACCTCATCAGTCAAAGAAAGAGACAGCAGAAGGAAGAGGAGGAGAGGCGTGAGCGCGAAAGAGAGGAACGCTGCTTAGAAAGCGAGCGTGAAATAGAAAGACTGGCGCACGAGATTGCGATCCGCAAACGAGAACTCGAGTTGAGGAATAGGTCGGGCAGTAGTCCCCAGCAAGTGGTACCTTATCGCAAATTGAAGGCCGAGTTCTGGATGTCTAGGTACATGCAGCCATATACAGATTGAGGGGATATTGGCTTGTACTTTATGATATTTGAGCGGAAGTGCCAGAACTGTCATTTGAGCGAGACACATGGTGTCAAAGGCTACTCACGGTTCTGCCTTGCGAGGCAGATGAAGCTGTTGCGCGACTCAGTGAGCAGGACGCGAACAGCTACGAGGTAGTTAAGGCAGAGATGTTCCGGATATTCAGAACTTCTGTCTGGAGAAAAGAAGAGCAGCTCAGACAAGAGTCTGAAAGAAAGTGCGAAGCAGAAAGACAAGAGTCTGAAAGCGAGGCGCGTTGGAAAGCGCTGGACGTTGAAGCGCGTCATGAAACGCCAGAACCAGAGATCGCGCTAGAAAAGGGCCCGCATATTCTCGAATGCATCAATGTAAATGATGTAAAGAACGAGGCCTTGGCCGGTCTCGAGGTAGAGACAGTATCAAAAGACGGTCCTTGCGAGGATGAGGTGTGTGCCAGCAGCCCTAGTGGGCTCAGTAAGAAGCTGGAAACCATCCTCATGCCCCGAGAGGACGTCTCGAGATCGTCACATGCAGATAGTGCTAAACATGCTCTGTTTGGCACAATGGCTAAACAGAGCGAGAAGTGACGCTTCAGGAGTGCAGCGATGCCATCGGAAAGGGCCCAGTTAATGGTTTCATCAGCGTTGACAAAGATAATTTGGCCCGACAGTCCGTCGTGACACAGAGTTCGAAAAGCGTTAGCGGGAGAGAAGACCTAGCACCAGCTCCAACGAGCTTCCCAACTTCTGAGGCCACGACGCGACATGATGATGGCATCGAGAGAAAAGAGGCAAGCAAACATCGCTGAAAACGAAAGAAGCGGAAGCGTTCAGCACCGCCTAAGCCTAGGGCAGATCCCACTCCGTCTCGAGAAAGACGACAGGCTAGGCCGTTAATCTGTTCCAGGAAACGCCAATGGTGGCGTTCATGGAGGCACATGCGGCGAGCCAGGTGTAGAGGGGGAAAACGAGGTGCGCCACCCCAACGAAACGCGCGGTTAATTTCGACGACTTCGGGAAAGCGGCCTTGCCCAAAGGGTCAAGGTCGAAAAGGCACAATCACTAAGTACTGCGTGGGGGCGACCACAAAGACACTATTACCCAGGCTTCCCCCCTGTTTCTGGCATCCCTTGCACATCCCTGAGGAAAGCCGGCTGAAGTGCAAAATGAGGCGTGACGGCCGTGCACTGCTTGGAGTTTATTCATTTTGTAACCTCTGGCGTGCTCGAAAGCCGCCGGGACCGCGACCCCACTGTGTGCGATTCAAGCGAATCTAATTGAGAAAAGGGGGAGGTCAGTTTGAAGAATTGTAGCACGTGCGTGCTAAGTATGGTTACTTAGTGTTGCTTTGCAGATGCAGACTTCAGTCATAATTTTTGTAAGTTACGTGATGCGGTGTAAATTGCTCAGAAGGAAAACCGCCGAACCAAAGGCTGAAGGTTAGCATCAAATTAGTTTGATCATGAGTGCGAAAATTTGCATAAGGTAAAAACCGAGAAAATGTGTCATTTTTTTAGTTTTTTCAAAGGTTTAGTGTGGCATCGTATGCCTTCACTAACATGAGGATGTGGCGTGAATGAGCTTTTGAGGAAGATGTTAGCATAAACCGAATGATTTCGTAAATTGATTAAGATTGGCGTGACACGGTACAGTTGTTGTTGCGCGCATTGAGAATTGAGAATTGAGAGTCATTGGGGCACGGTTTTAGCATAAACCAGTGCAAGTGTTGTTGGTTTTCTTTGAAGACGATTGATCAAGTGATCATATGAGTGGAACAGTAAGCTTTTGCTAAT